ATCTATTGTAATTATGTTGGGGTAGAGGGTGTCACATTCCGAACCTATAGTGCCACTTGCACTTGGGTCACAATCCACATCAGCAAACTTTTTCACGAGGGATCTTTGCTTCGGAACAATGAAGGTGAGTAAAGGAATTTAGGAAGCAAAAGTCAAATAAATCTTTTCACAAATCAATATAAGTTTACATATAAATTATTTTGTAAAAGTTCATTTGTATTAACTTTTCAAAAAAAAACTTATTTTTAACTCATGCATAAGTTAATTTATGAAAAAGTTTATTTTGATTTTTTTTCTCAATTTTTTTTTTCTTAGAAGTGTTTCTAAAAAAAAATTATTCAAACACACTCTTAATAAGTTATGGCAACTTGTTACCAAAGAATGAGGCCAGTACAACTAATAGTTCTTAATGATTAATAAAACTTTATTCGTCCCACAATGATGGCCATAATTTAAGGTTTTCACACATATATTAAAAATAAAAATAAATGTATCACCTTTTTATATAATTTTATTAAAATAATTCACTTTCACGATAAATACATTTTTCCTTCTGTTCTCTATTATAAAAAGAAAAGAAAATGAATTCACACATATTAGAAAAATTGATTATTTGGATTAAATTTTGCTAATTTTATAATATTTTTCCTAAATTTTCTTTATTACAAATGTTAAATATGGTAATGTAACTAAAAAGTCATGCATTATAAGAAATATATTTTAAAAAGAATATCATTAAATTATAAGATAAAACTAGTTAAACTTTGTTTATATTTAAAAACGAAAATATTTTTTTATTGTATGCTTATAATAGATAACAAAGAAAGTACGCACTCAATTATGTTGGTTGAGTAATTTATTAACAGATAAATTTAAAAAATAAAAATTAATATTATATCGAAAGTGACAAGAACATTATTCATTTTAGAAAATCTAAGTGTTAAAGCTACAGTTACTGTGAAACTAAGGGAGTACGAATTTGATGTCTTGTAACGCAACGTTCTATCCTTAATTAATGCAAATTTTATTTTGTTATTGATGTTTTAACTAGAAAGAAAATAAATCTCAAATAGATGCTTTTGATTATTAGATCTATTAGAACAACACTTTTACAAAGTTTAGAAGTTTTGACCATTTCACAATTGCCTTATTTGCAGAAAATATGCAAAATGTACCTGCAAGCATCCCAGGATTAGAAAATGTATTGAGAGTTTGTGATCTTCCATCTTATTTCACATTGTTGACAGATAAGACCCTCAATAGAGACTTTTACATCGTAGAAACCTTAGCCATGATTCAAGCTTCAGCTCTAATACTCAATACCTTTGAACAATTAGAACCCTCCGTTATCACTAAGCTTGCTTCTATATTTCCCAAAGTCTATTCTATTGGTCCTCTTCACACTCTCTACAAGACCATATTCACGGCTAATAGTTCATCACTGAAAAAAAATGGTCGTATAAGAAAGGAAGACAAAAGCTGCATTACATGGTTGGACCATCAAAAGGCAAAGTCAGTTTTGTATGTTAGTTTTGGCACTGTGGTAAAGCCATCAGTTGAGCAACTATTGGAGTTTTGGCATGGTTTGGTAAATAGCATGGAGCCTTTCTTGTGGGCTATCCAAAAGGAGTTGATCGATGGTATAGGTAACCATGTACCTTTAGAGCTTGAGATTGGGACTAAAGAAAGAGGTTTTATGGTGTATTGGGCTCCTCAAGAAGAGGTTTTGGCCCACCCTGCAGTGGGTGGATTTTTGACTCATAGTGGTTGGAATTCTACTTTGGAATGTATTACTGAAGGAGTGCCTATGCTTTGTTGGCCATTGATAGCTGATCAAATGGTTAACAGTAGGTGTGTGAGTGAACGGTGGAGGATTGGGTTCAATATGAATGGGACATGTGATAGGTTGATTATTGAAAAGATGGTGAGAGATATAATGGAGAATCAAATGGAAAAGCTCATGAAATCAACAAAAGAGATTGCAAAAAAAGCTCGTGATAGTATTAAAGAGAATGGTTCATCTTATCATAATTTAGAGAATCTGATCAAGGACATTGTTGCAAGTGTGCCAACAACAGCTACGATGTAGAGTAGTTTCTTTTATAATTTTTAGGAATTTGTTTTGCTTCAGTTACATTTCAGATATTAGGAGTTATAATTCTGGTTTTGTGTTTCTGTTATGGCTAATAATTAAGGATGTAACTTATATGTTTGATGCTCTTTATATATATAGACTTAATTTTTATTAAAATATTATAAGCTTCCTTTAACATTCTTTAGTTATCTTCTCTATTCTCATAAAACAAAAACAACAGATATAAAGTCAATGAAGACATAAAACTACTATAAGAGGAAAACTGCATTTTGTAAAATCAACAATGTTGAAACATATTACATTTCTCAATTTAATCATTGCATTCATTGTTTTGTATCAAATTTTTTAAGACTTAAAATATAAGAATTTTAATCCAAAGGTGTATTACGCCTAGATAGGAGATGGTTGAAGTAGACGAGTAATAATTAAGTGTGATGAAAAAAGTCTTTTCAGATGTATTGCTTATATATATTCTAAATACAAAAACTCTACATAAATCAACTAAGGAAACCATTCTAAAATCGTATACATTCATGACAAGTGGTATTACATGCTAATAAGATCGACTTTTTACTCGATTAGGGTCATTAAGGAAACATTTTATAGAAATAAGACTATTTTAAAACTATTTCTCACTTTAAGGCACTTAATTATGTGTACCACTAATAAATTTAATGACACTCATGCCACGTAATATGTAATATCTGAATTTTTTATTAAAAATATTTATTTTATTATTGATTATTATATTTTGTGATAATTAAATGTATTGATTTTAGTAATTATTTTTATATGAATATATTGTGAGATTTTATAATTAAAATTTATATCATTTAATTATTTATTAAATAAGGGAAGGGATTTGTCAATAACTATGGTTGATATATGGTTTTTTAACTAAATGATTTAAGGGAGGTTAAGTTTTAAAAAGAGCTAATTAATTTTTACGCCCTCTCACTTTTCACATACACATTTTCACTTCAAAGTTCAGAGAATCTGAAGGAGGAGGAAACTATTTTAGAGTCAATTTTCTATACTCAACAAGGAAAGAGAGGAGTGAGAAATCTCACTCTAGGTGTGGAGATATATGTTAGGTAGTATGATTGACTTTTAATCCTATGTATGTTGCATGCCTATGTGTGAGGGAATTTTCCCAAATCCTGTGTTTGTGACTCTCTTTTTGTTGTAATTTTTGTTGATTATGTTATTTTGTTCAAGTTATGAACGTGGTGTTCTCAATCTAAACATGTTTGATTTTTAATTATGAAGAATTATTTCATTCAATTTTTGTTAATTATGCATTATGACATATGGGGTAGAGGGTGTCACATAATACACACACATACATAAATATTTTGTAAAAAGAATTGTATGGAGAGTAAACATGACATTCGTATTGGTGATGTTGGAGTTGCGTGCAAGATCACCATTGGTGCATCCAACTCTAATGACACTGTTGTTTTGTTGTTGTTGTTTTTTTTTTTTTTTTTTTTTTTTTTTTTTTTTTTTTAATTTTGGATAAGTGATGTTAGCCCATTCATTTCATACAAGAAACCTTTTATACACACACACACACAAAGTCTCCATTGATAAGAGACCTTTTAGGTAATGACTAAAAGTAAAATCACAAGAGTTTAGGCTCTATTTTAAAGTAGACAATATCTTATTAATGTGAAGACTTGTGTGTGGTGTAAAAAACCCTCAATGCATAACAAGTGGTATCAGAGCTGATGGTTTTGACCATGTGACCAACTTGACGAGTATGATGGAGTTGACAAATAGATTTAGGTGTAGGATCCCTTATATCAAAAGTCTTTCTAAAGGTGGATCCATATATGCAAAAGAGTCTTGTTGATAACGTAGAGGGTTAGGAGGCGTGTCCACTATCGTGGGTTAAAAGATAGAGTGACGATGCAAGTACTTAAACCGTGACTAATAGGGATGGCAAACATACCCGTACCCGCGGGTAATATCCGAACCCGTCCCGACTTTGATGGGGAATATCCGGTTTGACCGGGTATGGGTACAGGTATGGGTAAAACCCGATATATTAAATCGGGTACGGGTACGGGTATGTGTATGTACTTACCCGCCCCGTACCCGTACCCGTACCCGTCCCCGTTCTCATTTTTAATTTAATACTCACTTACAATTTAATTATATTAAAAAATTTTAATATTTTTTTATGTGTGATTATTTA